GTCTAATTTGTTAGATATTAGGATTGCTACACCAGCTTGTTTCTTGAGCCCATTTGATTGGAAAATATTTTCCCATCCTTTTACTCTGAGGTATCGCCTGTCTCTGAAGTTGAAGTGTGTTTCTTTTAAACAACAGAAGGATGGATTCTGTCTTCATATCCATTCTGTTAGCCTATATCTTTTTATGGGTAAGTTAAGACCATTGACATTTAGGGATATTAATGTCCAATTTTCATTGGTTCTTGTTTGTTTTGGATTTATTGTTGGTGGTGTCATTGTGTGTGGATTTCTCCCTCCTGCTTCTTTTTGTGTTTGGTAAAATTAGATTTTTTATGTCTTTGTTTTTTTGATTATCTATGCCTTTGTTTTTGTGAGTGTAGTTATGTACGTTGGGTTGGAGTTTTCCTTCCAGAACCTTCTGTAATGCTGGATTTGTGGATATGTATTGTTTAAATCTGTTTTGTCATGAAATATCTTGTTTTCTCCATCTATAGTGATTGAAAGTTTTGCTGGATACAGTAGTCTGGGTTGACATCCATGCTCCCTTAATGCTTGTAGGGTATCTATCCAAGACCTTATGGCTTTCAGATTTTCCATTGAGAATTCAGGTGTGATTGTGATTGGTTTGCCTTTTATGTTACTTGGCCTTTTTCCTTTGTTGCTCTTAATATTTTCTCTTTATTCTGTAGATTTGGTGTTTTGATTATTATGTGTTTGGGGGACTTCTTTTTATGGTCCAGTCTATTTGGTGTTCTGTAAGCTTCTTGTGTTTTTATAGGCATATCCTTCTGTAGGTTGGGGAAGTTTTCTTCTATGATTTTGTTGAATATCTTTTCTGTACCTTTAGCAATGTTTATTCACCTTCTTCTATACCTACTATTCTTAGGTTTGGTCTTTTCATGGTGTCCCATATTTCCTGGATATTTTGTGTTAGGGATTTGTTGGACTTGTGGTTTTCTTTGGTTGATGAATGTATATCCTCTAGTAAGTCTTCAATAGCTGAGATTCTCTCTTCTGTCTCTTGGATTCTATTCGTTATACTTACATCTTTTGTTCCTGATCATTTATCCAGCCTTTCCATTTTCAGCATCGCCTCATTCTGTGTTTTCTTTTTTGTGTCTATTTCAGCTTTCATGCTTTGAACTGTTTCAAGAGCTTCTCCTTCATTTGTTTGGTTGTTTTTTCTTGGCTTTCTTTAGATTGTTTAAGAGATTTGTTTTACTTCTTGAATTTTTTGGTTTACCTTTTCCACCATTTCAAGCAAATCTTGCTTGTTTTTTCTTCTATTTCCTTAAGGGATTTTCTTGTTTACTCATTAAAGGTCTCTATCATCTTGCTGAGACAATTTTTGAGGTCAATCTCTTCTTCATGTTGGGCTTTTCAGATCTTGCTGGAGTGGAGTCCCTAGATTCTGGTGGTGTCATATTGGTCTTTCTGTTGTTGAGTGAGTTCTTATTCTGTCTTCTTTCCATATCTTCTTTCAGTGAGTGCAGGAGGGGTCTCTCTATCTCCTCTTGTTACCCAGTGGTGTTTGTAGGCCAGGAATTCAATGTTTGCAGCTCTGGACGGTCTTGCCTCTCCTGGTAGTTTCCTCACTCTGAAGGAGTTAGGCCTCCAGAGGGTTCAGGTGTGTGCGGGAGGAGTGGGGTGTTCCAGGCTCAGGGAGTTCCCCACTGCCTGGGCAGTTCTACCCCAAGCAGGAGCAGGGCTGGGGAGATCAGGGTGGATAGGGCTTTGGAAGGGAGTTGGGTAAGAGCAGAGGATCACTCACCTGGTTGCGGATTGGTAGGTGGAAAGGGAAGGAAGAGTAGCCTGAACCCAGATTCAGGGAGCTCCTCCCTGCATGGGCGTGTCTACTCCAAGCAGGCACAAGCCCAGGGGGATCTGGGTGACTTACGCTTTGGGCAGGAGTTGGGTAAGACCAGGGGCTCACTCACCTAGCTGCGGATCGGTCGCAAGAAAGGGCAGGATTCATTAATTTAGTCTAATGTTTGAATGAGGATCTTCACGTCTATTTCCTGGTGTTGATCGATCTTCATACACATTCAACTGGAATGACACTGTGCACATGAGAAGAGAACTGTTCAATGTCAAACACATCTTAATATGAAAGACACTTTTCCATTTTCTTTGTCTCTTATTGTCATATAGTTTAGCATTATAGAACAATATGAACTGAGGAAGATACTACTAACATGCAAAGATATTAGATCAGTTTGTGTGTTCACAGGTAAATGTTTTTAGTTATATAGTTTTTTTATTTTTTTATTCTCTGTTTCTTTTCTGAAATCAGAAATTGAGAATTTTCATTATATGTTCTAATTCAGATATGTTAGAGAAAAATTTCTTTGGTCAATTTAATTTGTTTAATTTTTGTACATTGTCTTCAATTTAACTTTATCTTATGAAGGTGCTTTTATTAGACATAGAAGTCTACATTTCCAATTATATTTGTTTATCATTTAGAAGACATTTTTCTTTTTCTGTTTTGTTTTAGTATGTGAAGAGCTCTAATGAAACCTTTCTTTTAGAAATTTAATTCTCATGATTTAACTTTCTGCTAGTCTATTTTGAAAATCAGAACATCGGTGGCTGGAGAGATAGCTCAGTGGTTAAGAGTTCTTGCTATCTTGTAGAAGACTGAAGTTCAGTTTGCATTAGCCATGTAAGATGGGTCATAACTGTAAGTCCAGTTGCAGTAGATGAGAATATCACTTCCATGGAAGGGCACCTGAACATATATACATAAGCAAGATAGTACACATAAAATTAGAAAATAATAATAAAATAGTTCTTAAACATGATAATTTGTCAAAATTGTTTATTTTATCCAATGGTTTTTCTATGCTGTTTTGAATATAATTGAATAGGAAATGTGATTTCTAAATTATAAGTAAATATGCGATAATTATTTCATTTGTTGACTATCATATCCTATATAATAATGATTAAGTTTCCAACAGTATTTTTCTCACTCATGAAGGAATCTACATACTCTCTTAGTATAGGAATTTACATCCTTATCCTAATTCGTGGCTGAGCTGAGCTAGTTCTAAATTTTGGTTTGGTAAGGTTCAGCCTCTTTTATTTTTTTTTCCCCCAGGGCAGTGAAGTCCTTTGAAGATTTTAACTGATGGCATATTTTACCCCTCAGAGAATCCCATTCTAGGCAGATCTTTCCTGATCCAAAACTTACATATCCTCTATTTAAAAACACTTTGGTTCATGAACTTAGTACTATGATTTATGAAATTTCATATTTCAGCAAATATGGCTTTGTCTTGATGATTTTCATGCTTATAATTGTGCTGCTCAAATCTACAATAATAAAATATTTGCACCTCTCTCTGTCCCCATACAGTGATGCTTTGACAAAGAATATGCTAGAATTCTCACATTTCTTCCTTTCAAGTAATGAGAAATTATCTCTAGAAAAATAGGAGCTGCACATTTTATAATTGCTATTTATTAATTAATTTCAGAGTTCAACATAGAGTCTCTGTGTTTCCTGGAATGGTTTCTCTACTTGAATTACAGGTTTGTGGAAATTCTACTGTTTTGGACAAAGTTTCACTATGCATTCTAAGTAATCTTCTTTATACATGTTTTTCAATAAGATATTTTAAAGTACAATATAAAATTCAGGTTGGAGGGCTCAGGTGCCCATTACAGAAGCTTAGCCAGGTAAAATGGGATTATCTCTCTAGGGGGTCTATTTTAAAACAATGGTTCATGCCACTCTCTCTCTAATTTTATTCTCATATTCAATCTTTATTGGAACATTAACCCAGTTATTAAAATCCATAGTTCATTATCAATGAGCTGAGACAAAACTTTTCTGGGATTCATACCTAGACTTTTATTTGTTCTCTCACATTGCATTAGGTTATCCTTTAATTTCTTTTCTTGATTTATCTTTCTTTTTTTTCCAACAGTAGTATTTTGCAAATAATTTCTTTATCAAAAGAATATCTCCATTTAAAACTATTTTTACACATCTAAATATTATTTAAAACTATTATTACCTAATATATTTGTATTCTATTAACTCTGTACACAATGAAATTGGATGAAAATATATATATATATATATATATATATATATATATATATATATATACACACACACACACACTTTGGTCTTTTAATGATTTGATTTTAATAAAATATACAGTATGTGTGGAATATCAATCAGCTCTAGAGGTCAGCTGAGATGATAACACTTTGGTAGTTAAGGAAAGTGACTACCAAAGGGATGACAAGCAAGCTAGTTCATGAAAACCTCTTGAGTTCTCATGACCCAACCACATCCTTAGGTGGAGCCTAACCAGCAGGCACAATCTAATCAAATATTCCTCTTTGGTTAGTTTTCAAGTAAGGATATGTTTCCAGAATCTTCCAGGTACCTCTATGTTTGCAGGAAAGGTGATCTTCAGGACATTTAAGTCATTTCTCATGATTTTATGATAAAATACTACTGATAAATAACATGTCCAACATTGATAAATTACTCTGAGAATACAGAGAAAAGTATCCAAAGAATTCACTGAAAGCCTCATAACTTTCCTTGAACTCTCTGTTTTAATAAGTACTAATTATGATAGCCATAATTTTAAAAGGACAGTTACTGTAAAAAGCCAAAGCATGTGTTGCTAGTTTTATCAGGAAGTTTGTGATAACAATGAAATATTTTAATCCTAGGAAGATTAAATCTCTGAATCTAAAAATACTGTTCGTGTCATCATGAAGTTTCACCTTCAAATAGGGCCGGCCCTTCTATAGTCATTACTTCTCTACTGGAAACTTCAGTACTGCATCTCTGAGCCTTATGTAGCCTTTGAAGAAAGTGTCCATAATTAAACATGGTCTGTGTTCATGGAACATGAGGAAATGACAACTGAGTTTCCTGTGTATTTAGACTTAAAATTTCTTCCACAATAAGCATCTGACCCCACAGACAGTTCTTAATGTCCAAGGTTAAGTAACTATTTCCATTCTTTGTTCCTGCTAATGGCAATAATATCTGAAAATTGCCTTTGAAAATAATTTTCAATCTAAGTCTCAATGTTTCCAGTTGCTTTCTTCAGGAACTTTAGCTATACTATAGTTAAAATAAAGAACTGAAGAGCTTCCTTAAACACAATATACATATGTCAAGCCTTGTGTTCATTGCATCATTGGCATAAAACAACTAAATGAGATGCTTTTACTTATCACACCTGTCCCTTGAATAACAGTTGCTCCTGTATCTCAATGTTCTGATCTTCATGAAAAGCAAACCTTTAACTCATTGCAATGTCAATATCACATGCAATCTTGCATTACATAAGCAGATATAACCATAGGCCTGGGTCAATTTTTGCATTCTAATATACTATAATTTGAAAGTCAATATTTACAGAAAATCCAAATTGATCTTAGAGTAAATTGAGAAGTGTACTGACACAATAGTCATATTGTCGTACATGCTTGTGTTGATACTGCCACAAGCAAAACCACTGTGTTCAAAGTCATATAAATATTTAGCAAATCAGATGTTGCACATTATATAGTATTTGTTAAAAATAACATGGAACTGTGTATTAGATAAGGTTCTTGAGGGAAGAGAACTTATAGAATAAATACAAATATGGAAATAATACTGATTAGAATGGCTTAAAAGTTGTGGTCCAGCTAGTACAATGTCTGTTTACCAAAAGAATATCCAAGAATCCAGCAATTGTTGAGCCCACAAGTTTGGATTTCTCAGCTGGTTTTCAATATATACCAAAATGCTGAAAAAGTTACTTCTATTGTCCATGGAATGAACTTTGAAGTGAGAGTGAAAGCCAGCAGGCAAAGAGAGGAAGCACTCTTTTCCTGAATGATTTATGTAGGCTGTCACCCTATGATATGGTCCAGATTAAAGTTGTGTCTTTCTGCCTCACAAGATCCAGATTAAGAATGAGTCTTGCCACTTCAAATGATTTGATTAAAAAACTAGCCCATCACTGGTATACCTATCTGCATACCTTTTACTTAATTCCAAGTGTAGTCAAGTAGACAACCAAAAATTCCCATGTAAAACTATGTTAATAGCCTTTGTGTTTTCTCTAGTTTACTGATATTTCCAGTGTAGTTCTACTCAGAATGAAGTCAGAGGTCTCATTCTATGGATCTGTCTCATGTTCATCTTAAATCCAGATTATCCTGTGTCCCCTTGTGTGTGAGAGTGGGTATAGTTCTTTACTTGTAATTGGATGAAGGGACAAGAAATTTTCATAATCTTAAAAATGTTTCAAAATGTAGAATACTTTACTGAAATTCAAAAAGTACTTACACATGCTGGATAAACTGGGGAACTCTATGGTATATCTCCAGACTCCAGTTTTCTTTCTGTTTTGACACCAGATCTCATTAAATTGTCCAAGGCGGCCTTGAATTCAGAGTGAAGCACTGGTGAGTCTTGATTCAGAGGGAAGCACAGGTGAGTCTTGATTCAGAGGGAAGCACTGGTGAGTCTTGATTCAGAGGGAAGCACAGGTGAGTCTTGACTTGAAAATATCCCTGTCTCAGTCAAATGTTTGCATGTGTCCACTACCAAACTATTAGAAACCATATATTAAAATAAATGTTAATATCCTATTAAACAAAGTCATAAAATATCCATTTATTCACCAAAATACGTTTTCCACCTTGCAACAAAGATTTATGTTCTGAAAACAAGATTACATAAAAACATGGATGGCTTCTATGTTTGAAATGGAAAAAATATTTTAGTATCCAATTCAAACATCTAGAGAGATTGAAAAGAAGATATTTTTATACAACAATATAGATTCCATGTGGTGAACAAAACAATGAAAGGAAAATTCTATAGAGAAGCACACCAAAGCGAATTATATTGGGTTTATGTCTTTAATAGATAATTATACTTGAAGAGGCAATTTGCCATATAGTAACACATTCCATCTCCATTGTCAAATTCAATTCTCTTCACTCAGATGATAGGACCTATTCCTAGGTTCTACCTCCAAGAGCAAAGTGAAGCAGACAGTTAAACCCCTATTTACTGAAATTAATCAATAGGGATAGATTCTTTCTAAATGCATGATCTTCAATAGAAAATGTTTATTGTTCATTAATTTTTCCATAATAATAAACACTCTCTAAATTTAGGCTCCTAGAGTATTTTGTTTGATATTAATTTAACAGTCTCTTTTTAATCCAGTGTTATACCCCTATTCTAATATGTAACAATACTCATTTTTAACAATTATATACCTTTTAAATTCCATTGTATTATTTTTATATCATTATTGTACTCCTTAACATTATATTAATACATAAAATGAACATCATTCAAGTAAAATATCTGTTTCTCTAGTGAAGTATTTCTATAGTGAAGATATTGGAACTTACGTATGCATAATTTTAAAACTCAGAGTGGCTACTTATGCATACTCTAGAAAATTATATTATTTTACTTACTTAAAAGCTATATACTTGAACTTAGATTTTAAGGTGAATTAATAAAAACATCATTTAATAACACATTTGATAATAAGCATATGCTAATATTCAGATAAGGGAATTAAAGTATTGATAGCTTCTAAGATTTCAAGTAAAAATTTAATGAGGAAAATTTAGTTACAAAATAGAAAATAAGTTTTCCCAATTGGATACCAGGAAGTCATATTAACCAGTGATTTTAGATATTCTATTATTCACTTATAAATAATAAGGCATTGAATATATAACAAAAGTTGCTCACATAGAATATAAAAATTATGCAGAAAATAAATAATTTTGTTAAAACAAGGAAGGGCAGAAGAGAACATAGAACAGAAGCTAATACAACAATTTACCCCAGTTAGAGACAGTCAATTCATAAACAGAAATAAAACTGTGGCTTTTCAGTGTTTTCAAGTATCTGGTTCTATGACAAACTAAGAAAGATATAGATTGATAGGAACAGAATAATAAAATATGGTTTTTGTTTATTTTGCTTTTAATAAAAAATTTAGCTGGCCGTGGTAGCACAAATTTTTAAATACTAGCACTTGGGAGACAAAGGCAGGTGGATTTATTTGTGTCCAAGGCCAGCTTTGTCTGCAAAGTGAGTTCTGTGACTATTTTTGTTTAGTGAGTCAAGGCTATTACACAAAGAAAACCTGTTTCAAGAAACAAAAAACAAAAAAGGAGAAAATCTTGCATATTTGTTAGTGAGAATCAAATGAAGTGTACTTTTCTGCTATATGTCTTTTATTCAGCATTATGTTTAAAGTATGGATCTCATTAATGATATATGTCTTTATGAATGAACACATGTAATGTTATGTTAATGTAGAAGTAACCCTTTATATATTTTCTTGTAGATGATAGTTATTAAGTACTTTTGCTAATAAATGATAAATCAGTGTGCATCATGATTCTGTATCATGATTCTGCATATTAGGCATAATTTCATATTGGACCTTAAAGAACCAAAAATTTAGGAGTCAAGATATATGTAAACATCATTCTGGTCAGGGAAATAAATAGACTAACTGCAGGTCTTGAAATCTACTCTACATCCCATTTGCAAGTCTCACCTTCAGCTCGTACCCACCTAATCAAAAATAGTCATTGACTGAAGAAACTGACAAATGATTTGATCATTTTTCAAAAGAAGAATTAAAAATAGTCAATAAGTATTTTAAAGAAAGATGTCCATTATCTCTGGACACTTGACAAGTGAAAGCTACTCTCAGATTCTCCCTCACCCCAGTAAATTTCACTCTCACCAAGAGCATCATTAACAAATAGTGGTGAGACTAGGAGAAAGAGGAATCATTAATCAATGCTAGTGGGAGTGAAAGCTGGTATTGCCACTGTGAAAATTTCCTCAAAGTAAACAAAAATAGAATTCCCATGTGATCCTACCACACAATACCAAAATAAATCAGAGTCAAGTAGTCACAGAGCAGTGTGCATTCCTTTATAGTAGTACTATTCACACGTGACACATATGAATAAGCCTATGTTGATTTCAACACATATTTAAGTATAGATCTATGTTCTACCTTCTATCTATCTTTCTATCTATCCATCTATCTATCATCTATCTATCTATCACATATCACCTCCATCTCACATCATCTTCATACATCTGTCTTCTGTCTATTTCTCTATCTACATAGGAAATTAACCTGAGAAGCAACAAGGGTGGGGGACACTGGAGAAGTTGGAAGGATGAATTTCTAATGGACAAAATGAGGCAATTATGTTTTACTTAAAATTAATAAAGAAGTGACTCCTGATATATTGGTCATAAAATGAGCCATGAGAACAGGCTCTCCCTCCTCATTTCTTCTAAACATCATAGTTCATAATAAGAGCAGTTGCTCCATTATGTGTCCCTGGAATTATCTCCTGCATTTGAGGAGACAATGACATAAATAATCTTTCACCTAAATTTCCAAAGTACAAACTATATAGACCTTTTCTCTTATAAGGTAATTATTTCAGGCATAGCTTCGTCATTCATAGTTATTACCACAGGCTATATATAGTGTGTTCAGCAAGCCCTGATACCATGTCTAAAAAGTGCATCAAAACACGACAGAGGAAACTAGATATAAGTCAATAAGAATGAAAACCTTATATGGAATATGTTTCTGTATTTTTTGTGTTTTCAATTTTATTCCCAATCTAGAATTCATAATCCAGTGGTCATTTATTATAGTGATGATTCCATAATTTTATATCTTCAAACATTGAGCTCTCTTTTCAGAAACAGATATTCTTTCTTAAAAACATCTTTCCTTTAGTTATACAACATGATAGACAACAAATGATAGTTAAATTTGTTAGGAAAAAGAAAGAGCAGAATATGTGTTCATATCAGAAAATCTCTCTCTCTCCCCACACCTTATGGGTGTGTGCATGAGTGTGCATGAGTGTGTGTGTGTGTGTGTGTGTGTGTGTGTGTGTGTGTGTGTGTAGACAAGAGGACAAGAACATGAATTCTTCCTCAGTATTCATCACCCTCTTTCACTACCTAGAATATGTCTAATAGACTAGGCTCACTGGCCAGTGAGACCTAAGGATTCATGTGTCCTTCAATGTTGCCAGCATAGTAAGATCTTTCTGCATGAGACGTGGGGACTTAATTAAACTCAGAAACACTTGAAACACAGTCACTTTATAATTGAGTTGTTTCATTTTCATCCCTTAAATCTATATGTACTGCCGTTTAAGAGGAAACACACAGCTTTAGTAAGTCTGTCGTTTTGGTTAATTGGAGATTGATTATGGTGACTCATATCAGCATGGAACACATTCTTCAAAGTCACTGTATTGGGAACCAAGATTATGCCTATAAAATTGAATAAGTTATTAATGGGATAGGAAATTAGAGTGAAAACAACTGAATATCAAGCTTGCTATTGATTATTGGAATTAAGCCCAGTTCCAGGAAGCAGACTGAAAACTACAATTAAATCATTTCACTTTGTTCACAATGGTGATACTCTTTAATCCAAAATTATATCTTTCTAAAATTTGAAAACCAAAAAAATAATGTAGAATCATTTATATTCTGGAACATGTACTAGATGTAAAAAAATTAATTTTATTCATGTGCATAGTTAACTATTAGCTTTCCTCCATTCTCACTGAGACAAATGAAGTCAGAATACCAAAGCCCTCAGTGTGGAGGTTTGTTACTCCAGTGGTTTGTGTTAGATATGGAGAGCTTGATTCATCTTAAAGAATCAAGCTATCACAATAAAACAATTATTTATTGACTAAGTAAAATGATGTAACAATTTACAATCTACATAGAATTAAAAACAATTCTGCCAAACAACTAAAATATTATGTTCAAATCATTGTATTATATATAAAATGAGGCAATAGTAATACCAATATCTATTGAAAACTTATTGATTTATAATCAGGATAATTTACATTTGGACAATTATTGAAAAAGAGGCCCATTTAGGTTTGTGAAAACAATAGGAAGGTACTGTTGGCACTAACAAATATGGTGGGAGTATTTTACAAGAACTCTATGAACTTGGAGACATTCCTGAAAAATGTACAAAATTTATATATTTAAGTATTAATTACTTTAATTATTGATTAAAATAGATACTAAAATTAATATAGGGATTCATGAAGCAAAATCCTGCTGTGTTTTTATTTAAATTCATATTATTTTTACACCATGCACAGTTTCCTAGCACAGAATGAAAAACTTTCTCAAATATCCAAATATAGGTAGAATGAATTGCTTTAAAATCCTTACATATACCATCACTACTTATATCACTTTTGAGTAATACACATTGTAAGGTCAATTTTCCTTGTGAGTTTTCCACATTGAATTCATTTTATCCTATGATGAGTTGTGTATACCTTAAAACAGTATTCCTCTTTTAAACATGGATGCTATTGAAAGGCAGCGAGTTGTAGGCAAGACATATGAAAGTGTATATGTTGTGCTTTTCCATTAATTTTTTGACTTACTGTGGGATGTATGAGGAAATATTAGAGAATGCTGGGAAAGCATCTGAATGCTGATGCAATGCCCCACCCAGCACTCATTATGCATTGAATTGGAATAAGCGTTTGCATGTATTCAAATAGCTTAGGTAATTCAGAG